TTTAATAAGAGATAAGACATTTGATTTAAAATGAAGTAATATCTGTGGTGAATTTTGGGTATCTCAAATACATTCTTTTTTAAATGGAAAATCTTTAGTTTTTTTTCTTTTCTTGGAACTGACCTTTAGAAATACTAAAAAGAAAGGTGGCGTGTGTCATATCTTACGTAAAAAGAGAGCCTAAATACACAAATTTTATTGACACAAAAAAAGGAAAATATCATAAAAATGTATGGCATGTGGCTCTTGTTTGAGGAGGGATTAAAATTTCAAACTTAAAGAATTTTCAAGTCATTTAAACAATTGAAAAAATCACTGAGTTTTTTTTTTATCAATTTATCAAAAAAAAAAAATTATCAATAAAAAAAACAAGTTAAAAAGCTGTAAGTTTGGCCGGGCCGAACTATGAATAACCTCCACCATTAGAAGGAATTTGGAAATTTTCAAAAAATAAAATCCGTTAAAAATTCTGTTAAAATCTTAAAAATACCGAATTAGCCCTTATATTGGGTTTTATACGACGTGGACCTACATTGTTGTCATAAGCCATTACCATTTTCAAATTCGAAAAAATAAACGGTGAATAATGTAGCTAAAATCATGAAAACACCGTAAATAGGGAGGTACCGTTACATCGGAGCTATACGAAGACCTGGACTTGCATAGACAATCTTTTGTTATATCCTGTAGCATCCATTACGAACTTCAAATACAACATCTCCAACAATTTCGGTGAGTATTGTACCTAAAATCGTAAAAGTACCGAATATAGGGAGGAAGTTATATGTGGGGCCTATCATAGGCTGTAGTATCCCTTTGGAACTTCAAGTGCTACATTTGAAACAATTCCGGCGAATAGTGTCGCTAAAATCATCAAAATATCGAATATCGGGAGGTATCGTTTTATGGGTGCTATACACGGACGTGGACCTGCACAGTCAATTTTCTGTCTTATGCTGTACTATCCCTTTGGAACTTCAAATATAAAATCTGTAACAATTCCGATGAATAATGTCGCTAAAATCATCAAAATATCGAATATCTGGAGGTACCGTTATATGGGGGCTATACGAAAACGTGGACCTGCAAAGACAATTTTCTATCTTAAGCTGTAGTATTCCTTTGGAACTTCAAATGCCAAATTTGAAACAATTCCGGCGAATAGTGTCGCTAAAATCATCAAAATCAGAAAAAAAAAGTTATTCGTGATGGAATTAAAGCGTGATAGTGCGATTATTTTATATTTGCCTGGAAAACCACGAGGGGCTATCGTTAGAGCACTCCAGCATTTAAATGTGAATAAATCTTTTGTGTCTCGTACCATCGCTCCTTACCGTGATACTGGTAGCGTAGCCTGATGAAGCTGAAAATGTGCACCTCCGGTTGGCCACCAGAACTCAAATGCCGGCCATGGTGATAGTGTTGGCCGCCATAACAGACGATGCTCGCTCTCCTCTCGCATTAATCGACAGTGGCATCAGAATAAATGCCGAATATTATCGCGAAAATATTCTGGAGGGTGTATTAAAGCCTTGGGCACGCAAAGATTTTGGCCGCAGACCCTGGACATTCCAACAGGACTCAGCACCATTGCACTCAGCACGCGCCACCCAAGAATAGTTACAAAATAAGGTTCCTCGCTTCATTTCCATCGCACAATGGCTATCAAAATCTCTCGTTAGCCAATCTGTTGGACTATTGTGTCTGGAGTATTTTGGAAAGCGAGGTTGACACTTAAAAATACCAAAGAGTCAATTAGCTCCAGCAAGCGCTTTGCCACGAATGGACCAAAATACCGCAGAGCAACATTCGGGTAGCGTGTGATGGTTTCATTGGCCGTTTGAAGGCCATAATTCGTGGCAAAGGTGACCAATTCAAACAAATCTAAACTTATTCTAAAATTTGATGCTATTTTCGACCGTTTTTGCTTTTATTCAATTAAATTTAAAAAATATGGTGTTTGACTTTGTTGTAATTTTTTTATCTCACCCTGTATAAAATTCTTCGTAAGGGTACCGTTTTAAGTTTCTTGAAATTTCAGGTTCTCTGGGAATTCGAATTAGTTTTCTTGAAATAGAAATAAAAAAAAACAATTATCGATGTCAAAAATTGTAATGATAGATATAAATTTTGGGTTCATCAGTACCTATGAATTTCAGATATGTTGAAGGCTCTAAGCGTATTTACAAACCCAAATGCCTGCAATTCAATACAGGGTTGCCCATATTCGACGGACCCATGACTCTTTGGGCCCATTCCAATCGACGAGGCTTGTCCGCAGGCAACATTCTTTGCGTCAATTGAATTTTGTACGGGAACAAATGCAAATCAATGCGAATAATCCGTTGTAAAGTGGACCGAGCCATACCCAACTGCTGAGAACGGCGTTTTTGGGATGTTCTTGGGGACCTCTCAACACTGGCTCGTACGGCAGCGATATTCTCGGCCGATCGCCTTGGTCGACTTTTATATGACCTCTTCGGATTAGAAAGAGCCTTACCAATCGAAAATTTTTCGTATAAACGCTTAATGGTGTTCTTAGAAGGCGCACTTCTCACATTTTTCAATGTTTTAAAAGCACGTTGAGTTTTCACAATTGACTTTTTCTGTTGAATGTAAATTTCAACTATTTCAGAGCTCGCGTGGCGTGTATTGGTTCATGATAAAAATATGCTTGGACTGACGCTTCAAACGCGGTATGTCATTAAGCGATGTGACATCTCTGTTATGGCGTTGCCAGATGGGTCCGTCGAATATGGACAACCCTGTATTTCTTCATAAAGAGCTTGTATCGCAACATTCCCATTGCAGTTAGAAGGACCACGTAAGGACTAGACCATACCAATTAAATATTTGATAATCGCAGAGGTTTCAACACATCCTCCTACACAATTTCGTGGCCTAAAATTTTAAGTAATTGTGTCATGAGATGTCTTTGATGTCAATAGCCTTATGTGATATACATATAACAGACTCTGCATCAATTCCCATTCGTTGTGGAGATATGTATTGCATCATTCGAAAATTTAAACAACATTTTTGCCGAGTTATAAATTGCAATTCGTATACTAATTTTTGTGTGCCATCAGAAATCTTCAATCCGAAAAAAAACGAAGCAAAAATTTTTTAATTAGTTATTATTTAAATTTTGAAAATCTTTTTCCTACAAAAATTTTCTTCAGAGCTAAAACGATTAATATTTTGCATAACACCAGTATTAAATTTAAACTTACAAAAAGTACACACATGTTCTCATTTTTTGGGGTTTCTTCAAAAAGAACAAAAAACCTTGAAATTTCTTATCAGCAACTAACAACAAGAAAATTATTTTATTTACTCTTAATACAAAATTTTGGATAATATGTAATGTGGAATTTTTAACTGAAACAAATTTCGAAACAAAAGTAACAAACCAAAAATAAAAAAAACACTTACATTATTTTTAGTTAAGTTTAAGTATTGTTTAATCCGCAAATGAAATTGAACTGGGGCTGTGATAATGTTAATCCATTAAAAATAGGGGATTGGGGGCATACACTCCAAAAAAATTAGGTGTATGAGAAATAAATTGCAACAACACTTCTTTATTTATGACACTCACTATTAGTTTGCACAAAACAATTTTCCAAACAAAATATTTTAAATTTTCCATAAATCTTTTCTTTTTTTCTTTCAAAAACTTTTCATTGAATTTTCCACATTTCCTTGACTCTAGAGGTTTATTATGTGGAATCTTTTCGGTATTTTTTTCATTTGTATTTGTTTTTAACCTTTGTTGTTTATTTATGACACTTAATAAATCTTCTTTAATTAATTTTATTTATTTATTTTTTCCTTATTTACACTTTGTTGTGATTTATTGAATTTCTTTTGATTTTTCACACTTTATTACATGGTTTCATATGGCTTGTGGAGCGTGTGCATTTGTATTGGAAATTTTCATTTCCTTTTGTAATTTATTTTTCATTATTTATTTGTATTTATTTATGTTTTTTTTTTTTTCGTCTTAATTTCGCTAAAAACAAAATCCATGCGACGACCGAATCGTTTCGTTTTGAATAATTTTTCCGAAATTTTTGCGTCTTAAATCTGTGAAATCTGAATATGAACTGAGAGCACACAACTAATATTTCGATTTTGTTGAAACACACTCTTACAATTTCGTATTGAAAACAAAACAGAAAAACAGAAAAAAACGAACAAAATATACACAGGAGGAACATGGAACAAAAACAATATCAAAATTCCAGCCATCTACCGAGCAAGCGGTGGCGGCACATTTGCTACGATGAGTAGAAAAACAGACGAACACGAACGGAAAAAATCTAACCGAAAAACTCAGCAATCATACGAACAACTGTTGGCGGGCACACACCAATACCGAGAGAGACAGAGAGAGCGAAACAAATGATGACGATCCACACGACAACACACACATGTATATATATTCCCAACGAGGGAAACATATCGCCAGATAGGAAAAGAACGTAGATCGTTTGGTTGTTTGATTAAATCTTGAGAGTGAGCAGTAGCGGAGGAGTATCAGACCGACAGGCAACCACACACTCAATTTCCTCAACAAAACACAGCAGACCAACATTAAGACGAAACGGAACAGACCCCATATATAATAAAAAGGAAATGAACAAATACAAGCACACATCTCTCGGTGTGTATGTGTGTGTTTAGGAAACACACTCAAACATGTGATCACACTACCAAACCATCCAGCACTATACGTTTCGTATTGGTGTAGGTGGTTCGAATCGAAAACAAAACAAACCTCAAACAGAGATAAATTTACGCAATAACTAACAACCGCTGCAGAAGTCGTTGTTGTTCGTTCACTCTGTTGACCTTTTGGAAAAGTACTCAATAAGGTTAATGGAAAATAATATTGTTACTCAAAGGATTTCACGATATTGAGTGGATAATTTCGGGGAGATATTAGGGTGTCCGGTCAAAAGAAATTGTTCTAAAAAATTACTATTTTTACTTACCAAAATTTACAATAAGAGCTGGAATAAGAAGAAAAAAATTAATAAGTATTAAACATTTGAATAATTGATAATAAAATTGGTTAAAATATGTTTTTATTACACTGTGCGGAAAAATATTTTTTTTTAATATTTATGGGAAATTCCAGCAGATTATGGAATTGGATCTAAGAACAGAAGACATGTGTATCGCCGTTTTGAAAGTTTACGCCGCAAAGTTACCTAAACAAATATTCTCCTTTTTCCACACTTTCTAAACGTTTCGAATCGAGATTCCTTGGAATCTGTATATTTTAGGTTTATAGTGTCTCCAGCAATATTGTAGGTAATATTATGAGGATTATTTCGGTTTAGAATTTTGTCCCTCAAGCAAGTCACCAAAGGGGTCTTTTTGGTCCAATTTTTAATATTCTACAAAATTGTTTGTCATAAATTTTAAATATAGGTCACAGAATACACCAAAACTTTAACAAATAAAATAAAATAACACTGTGTAACACAAAAAATTCATCAGATTATGAAAGTGGAGCTTAACATTTTATTTTAGGTCCAAATCTTACTTAAAGTCTAAATCTTACTTAAAAGTCAGAAAGTCAGACATATAAAAAATTCATTTTAAGGTTTAAGCCGTAATTTGTGTGAGTCTATGACCAATTCTCCAATAATAATAATAATAATAATCGTCCAACAGCTGTTAAAATAATTTCTTTATATTTGGCTGGAAAAGCACAAGTGGCTATCATTAGAGCACTCCAGCATTTAAATGTGAATAAATCGTTCGTACCCCGTACCATCGATCGTTACTAGTAGCAGAAGCATCAGCAGAAATGGTTCGAAAAGTAAAAAAGCGACTTGATCGAAACCCACGTCGCAGTGGCTGAAAAATATACACAATATTTCATTAGGCAAATATTGAAAAAAAGAGCTCGGGGTAAAGCCATTGACATGCCAAAAAGTACAAGAACTTACACCGCAACAGAAAGAAAATAGATTCAAAAGACCTATCGAGCTGCTTCTCTTGACCGAAAGTGATCCGTGACATCAGAATAAATGCCGAATATTATCGCGAAAATATTCTGGAGGTGCCTTTGGCACGCAAACATTTTGACCGCAGACCTTGAACATTCCAACAGGTCTCAGCACCATCGCACTCAGCACGCGCCACCCAAGAAAGGTTACAAAATGAGGTTCCTCGCTTCATTTCCAGCGCAAAATCTCAGGAATACCAATCCGTTGGACTATTGTGTCTGGTGTATTTTGGAAAGCAAGGTTGGCACTAAAAAAATACCAAAGTGTCGATCATCTCAAGCAAGCGCTTCGCCGGGAATGGACCAAAATACCGCATATCGATATTTGGGCAGCGTGTGACGCTTGCATTGGCTTTGAAGGCCATAATTCGTGCCAAAGGTGACCAATTCGAACAAATCTAAAGTTATTATAAAATTTGATGCTATTTCCGACATTTTTCGATTTCATTCAACAAAATTAAAAAATTGTAAAAATCATGGCGCTTGATTTTGTTGCAGTTTGTTTTTTATTTCACCCTGTATGAACCCACAATTTTCACTTGTCCTACATAAATTTTGAATCCAATTTTCATGAAAACTGGTATTTTTACATATATTGTTTATTCTGAGATTAAAAGTACATTTTTGTGTAGAATGTTTCTTCCATTGACACCTTTTGTTTAAAACGTAATTTCATGCCTCTTTCAGGCGCTCTATCGAAAAAGTAAGACTAAAAAAAAACTGATGAATAAGTCAGGAAGTAATTTAAGTTTTATTTTTGGGAATATTAATGCAAATATTTTTTGATATGCAATGAAAATGGAGATTTATTTTCTTCTATGATTTATAGTGACATTTGATAAAGATCAAATTTGTCTTTAACGTCATCCTTCTAAAATTATAGATTGTTCGAGATAAGTGCATTAACTCAAATAAAGTACAGCTTTAACCCTGAAATTTGTTTTCAATATATATTAAGTCCTGGTGCTTTGGTAAGATTTCGACTTTTGTCGTGTTTTAGGACCTATACTAGAATTTTATGACAAAATGTTTTTTTTTTTTTAGAATAATTTGCCTTACTGTGATCCCGCTTAATGAGGATTTTTGAGCATATTTTCAAAATATTACCAAAAAGGCCCGTAAAATGATCCGATCGGGGTTTAATGTTTTATACCAAAATAATCGTCGTGTATTTGTCTGTAATATTGTCAATAACTCCTTGAATTAACAGATTTTAAGGAATCTCAATCCGAAATTAAAAAAAAAAAAAATGTGGAAGACAGTGGAAAACTTTCCCTCTCTATTTAAGTTTTTGGCGATGCAAATTTGAAAACGCCGATACACGTGTCTCCAGCTCTACTTCCATAATCTGCTCGATTTTTTTTTATCAAACTTTCAGTTATGAAATATAAACGCTATTTTTAAATGGAAATAAAATCTCAAATGTCATGATTGTTCCTTATTTCCTATTTTCCCTCTGAACGCCCTGTTTAACATTGTTCCACTGTGCAATTGTAATAATTTCAGTACTGTGGAAACACACTCTTCTTTACGCTTGAGCACCTTTTTTAAATACGGAACTGACTCAAAGGACAACTCAAATAAAAGTAACAACAACAACAAAACAACTCACAAATATCAACCTCGATGTATGATTGTCAGGTAACAGGTAGTTAATTTTCATTAACATTATCCCACACGAATGCAACAAAAACAAAGCGGAAAAAAAAAATACTGCATTATCTAAAGACAAATAGTAAAGACAATAACAGAAACAGAACTAAAACTGAAAAGAAAAGATAAACATAGAACATCATTGCATATGGCCAGGTATACACAAAAGATAATAGAGGGAAAAAAGTGGACACAGGAAAATGCTCGTAACTCAAAAAGAATAGAACACAAATGGAAACAAACCTCAGAGACCATCATTGATAGACAACAACTGAGGGAGAGATATCTCTAACAAAAAATCGGATCTTCACGGTTGTCTATTTGGAAAAATAAATTGGTTCAAAATAATTTTTTTGTTGGTAGAGGTCAGTCACTGCGGCCAACAATAATAAAACACTAAGAAGCAGCAGCAAGAAAATTCGAATAGAACTAGGAAATCATAGTCATTATAGAATGTCAACTCTTCCATAGGTAGGAGAAAATAATACTGTGACGTCCATGATGAGGATGATCATGAGGGCGATACGTGCCAGACACTGGCTATGTAGCCCGGGTGCATTCCCAGATTTTTTTGTTCTTAATTGGGTCAAAAGAACAAAAAGGAAAATTAACAACAAAATCTTCTTGGTATTGTCTTTTAGAGGTTTTTAATTTGTGTTTTTGTTTCGGCCAAGACCAGAAATAGGGTTTCAGTTATGGCTCGCAGTCGAAAAGAATGAAAAACACATACTACCTTTAGAATTGTATGGAATATTACCAATGATTTTTGAATAATAGATGTATTAAAAGATAAAGGAATGGATAATTGCCTGAATAGACCTTAAAATCAGTGGTCGACCAATGGAGTTTAAAGGTTGGTCAGTTAAGCCACCTGACAACAATAACGATGATGGTGACAAAATTGTTAGAGTAGTTTAATGTTTAGTCTGACTTGAAATTATAAATTATAGTCGACGCATTTTAGTTTGTCACGATTGGGTTTCTTTTTGCTGCAGTTATTTGAGAATCAGATTTCCACAGCCTTTTCTTTGGGAAGTAGTTTTGTCCACAGATTTGTGAACCTTTATGTTCCTTAAAGCATCATTTTCGCGAAATTTCAAAGTGGTTGGTGGTATTTTCGTGAGAAGGCGTCACAGACATTCTTCTAGATAAGATATCGAATTGAAATAGGTCCCAGTGGGGTTAAATCATAAATATTGTTGTCCTAGATAAGCCTACTGACACCATATTCCATATTTGTTAACCAATATCGTTGTAATCTGGTATCAGGATTCCCCGTTGCGAGAAATAACCCCTGCAAAACTTACACAATATGGGTCTAGGAATTTCTCCCCATTAACTTCTTTTGTAGTTTTGACGAAATTTTTACGCAACACTCGTTGTATTACGGTATTTCGATATCTAATGGCGATAGCAGTACGCTTATAAAAAGTAATGTCTGTGCAACATAGGCTTGTCCCAAAATCACGCTGTTCGACGAATTTAATTTTTTCCAATAATTACGGGGGAAATCCAACAGATTATGAAATTAGAGCTAAAAAATGAAGACATATGTATCGTCGTTTCAAAATGTTTACATTGAAAAGTAACCTAAATAGAGGGAGCAATTTCCCCCATCTCCAACACTTTTGGAAATGTTAAAATTAAGATTCCTTGAAATCCGTCTATTTTAGGTATATATACAGTGTGAGATGAAAAATCTGCAACCAAATTAAGACTGCTATCATATTTAAGCCACTCGTCCAACAGCTGTTAAAATTATTTTGGTGAGAATTTTCCAGAAAAAAAGTTATTCGTGATGCAATTCAAGCGTGATAGTGTGATTTCTTTATATTTAGCTGGAAAACCACAAATTGCTATCGTTAGAGCACTCCAGCATTTAAATGTGAATAAATCTTTTGTGTCTCGTACTATCGCTCGTTACCGTAATGCTGATAGCGTAGCCCGACGTCAAGGAATTGGACGAAAAAAAAACAGCAGAAATGTTTCAAAAAGTAAAGAAGCTACTTGATCGAAAACCGCGTCGCAAAAAATGGCTTGTGAGCTGAACATATCCCAATATTCCATTCCACAAATATTGAAAAATGAGCTCGGGCTAAAGCCATTAAAATTCCAAAAAGTGCAAGAACTTACACCGCAACAGAAAGAAAATAGAATCAAAAGAGCAAAAGAGTAGCTTCGCTTGACCGAAAGTGGTGAACTGCCGAATTTGGTTTTCTCCGATGAGAAAACATTCGTTGTCCAGCAGTTTGTAAACAAAAAAATGGTCGTGTTTACTTGCCAAAGAGGTCAGCTGAAAATGTGCACCTTCGGTTGAACACCAGAACTCAAGCGCCGGCC